GCAGAAAGGAAAATGATTGTCTTTGCACTACAGGAATGCATGTCACTCAGAGAAATATTTAGGTTGAATACATATTTTTGTGTCATTGGGTATTATAAATGTAGATACACACTGTATAATTTCCATGAAAATTTTCATCTTCCAACAGTTACTCCTGACAGGAATGTTGTTTTGGAGGTCATGTTTGATTAAGGCTATCTTTTATGTCAACCAATTTGTGAAACTTGTCTGACTTGACACCTTTGTAGAGCTTATAATTTTGTTGTATGAATAAAAACAGGGAGGCAGAAAATTTGTAAAAACAGGGAGGCAGAAAATTTGTACAAGAATGATAAGTGGTTTTTTTATATCCAGAACATGTCTGGATTTTCACAGAAATTAAATACAAGTGTGATATCTGACAGGAGACTTAAGAGTTGAGGATCAGACGGACAAAGCAAGTTTAACTGTGAAACTTTTTTGTTTGTCTACAATTAATGACCAGAACACCAACAGAACAAAGACTAACACTGAAATGCTATCTTATTTGTCAGAAGGATACTACAAAATCAAAGTTAATTATCACTATAGCAGTGCAAGTTTTATATAAAGATGTACTTTATGATCACAAATGTACAGAGTTTATCCTTAAAATAACATTTAAAACCTNGGGGGGGGGGGGGGGGGGGGGGGGGGGGGGGGGGTGTCCCAAAGGTAACAGTAAAATCTTGATATTTAAATAAGAGTATGTACAGTAACTAAATTGTTAATAATGGATTGTGTGACAACATTCAATTTGATGTGTATAAGGTATAATTTTTAATCTTTTGATCAGATATATAGTTACTCATATTAGAAGTTATGTCATCTTACTTTTAACATTCCAAATGTAGTTAGTATTCGTTTGGACTATTTGATAACTGTTAACATCATATTTATTAACCTCTTACATGCGTCTCCATCATATTTTTGTATGAAGGAGAGTGTTTTGATAGCTTCATCATATTTGTTTTCTTGTATTGGAATGTTTGTGGAATAGGATGGATACTGGATTGTTCAAGAGGATTGATAATGTTGCTGTTCATTTTAAAGGCTAAAATTATATTCCGTAAAAAAAAACATCTCCTTGGTTCCCTACAGGTACTTGCGAAGGGAACTTAAGGTTTTGTACTGTCGGTCAATCTGGCTGTGTGTCTCTTTATTTGGGTCAATCTCATACTCTGACTTCCAAATGCCAGATTTTGTGAGTAGCACCATAGATACTGTATAGTTTGGAAATTTTTGTGGTGGATTTAATTTTGCTATATTTGCAGTCGCCAAAGATAACCAGCGAAAATTTGAAGAAAAGACATATTTACCTTTTCACTGCCAAATAATGAAGTAAAAACAACATCTCAATATCATATTTCACATATCACCATGTACCTCCATGATTGCAATATTATTAGCGAAATGAAATCTTGGTAAAATAGTTCTAATCGAGACTGCTGCGAAATTTTAGCCATTTAGAATTAATAACCACAACAGTGGAGTGTCATGTGCTGTTCCCCATTTGATACAGAGTTATGGCCCATTGTTAATTTTTGATACAGAAAATTTCAGAGATGGAGGACTATGAATTGCAATTCTTAACCTTGTTTTAGGGTTCACACATTTGGACTAACAAATGATGAGAACTGAAAACCAGTGTTTTTGCAAGACAAAAGTTCTTAGAGTAAAATCAGGCAGAAATCACAAATTCTGACCCTTTTGTATGGCAAGCTTGTAACATTTTGAGGGTGGAAAGCCATTTTAGAAGGTCATATACCCCCATGTGGAGGCAAACTGAAACCCTAAATTGACATTTAAACAAATTTTGTAAATTTGAAAGCTGTCAATGCCTTGAATACTTTTCCAATTGTAGTGCCTGTGATCTTCACTGTCTATCCTCTTTCCCGTACTTTTGTTATCACTATGAGCATATGAACACTAGATACCTTTATCTTTTACTGGTGGCAGTTTTCATTTTGCAGGAATGTAATTCACTGGTACAGTAATTCTTTTGACAATCGGACAAAAGCTAGCACTTAATATTCAATATTTTGAGATCTTGGGGAAACATTTGGGGTTTATAATCTTGTGACTTCCACGCCCCAGCTACCTGATTCCATCTAAGGCTAGTATTTATGATTCTCGCTTTGTTCAAGATTCAATAACTTTAAGGGCATCAGTTGTTCTGTAATAATCTTAACTTGTAAAAGGAAAACATGACCATCTGTCAGTGTGATATAGATCATGCGATCATGTTGTCAGCTTGGTCCATTTTGTATTTGTGGGGCTACCAGAATTTTATTTCTGTTCAGTCGATTATTACACCAGTAGTGTTTAGTAGCCAGGGACTAGTATCCTGGTACGCCTGTTATGTAAACAACTTATAATGATTGACTGGAGTTGTTCAAATGAAAGATCACATGGACATGACCCCTGATTAGGTGACCTATGACCCTAGTGTGCAGAAAATTATATTGAGTTGAATTTCAATCCTATTGCATTTTTGAAAACTTTATTCATAGACTAAGCATAGAAGTCAATCGCAACAAGCTTCGGATATTGCGATAGACTTCTATCCTTAGTTTTCCCTATTATTCAATCACCCTACACACCGGGTGGTATCCAAAGCAAGGGTACACAGAACCAACCAAACCTTAACAAGAAAAACGACATTGGCTGAAACGATCCCTGAAACTTTATTTTTACAAAAATGCACAGTGGGCTTTTAGTCAAATGTGGTATATCTATTGTGTTAAATAGAAATTAACTGTCAGGTGTTTTGTGAACATGATTGATATATTGACATAGAAATAAATATATACAGATATTTGGTGTTGACTTTTGTATGAAGAGTTATAATCCATTTCAGGTACAAGTATAACCAAAATAGACTTCTTTTATCACCATATACAATGTAGTCTAGAATCACCAGTCCAGCCCAGTATTATAATTAAAATCATTTTGAAAAACTGGAAAGAGAGAAACTTTGATATTTAATAACCAGCAGCAAAGTTGTCAACAAGTTTACGGTGTGGTGTCAAGATTTATTTACATGTTGTAGAAGTGATTAAAAGAAAATACTGACGTTGTGTTGCTGTCATATATGCTAAATATAAGGAAGGAACTACTAAAATGTTCATTGTCTTAAGTAACTCTGATTACAAAATACATCACAATCTTTGTAAAGTGTGTGGCTGACTTTTCCAATTAACTCATTCACCCCTGAAATTTCATAATGAACTATTCTACCCTTTGATTTGGAAAAGTTCAAATGTGTTGGGTGAATGATTTCAAGCAAAAAAATGTGAAATGTGAAAAGAAAGAGGTATTTACTATTCTTCTTGAACAATATCTTTTGACATTATGTCTATGAATCTAGTTAGCTGTTGAATATTCATTGGACAGCATCTCAAAATATCAGGACTGAGAAAGTATCCTGTCCACATCTTTGAATCTTTTCCCGAGAGTTGAGATTCCCCCCGATTTTTTTCTCTTACCCTGTTCACTCATTGTGTATCATATGCATAATGTTATGATAATGGATTGTTGATGTGACGTCATACCACTGTAATGAATAGTGGAACCCCCCCCCCGTCTCAATCCTAGGGTGAGATTAATACTTCCCCTACCTTGACAGTGTGACAGGGAAATCTCCTACCCAAGGGGTGATGTTTTTGGTTGTCTAACTCGAGGTTAGGCAACCAAAATAAATCACCCCGAGGATTGGCTATTTCTCTGTCACAACCTCAAGGTAGGGGATGATTCTTTTTCTCCCATCCTATCATTTCAGTCACAACTCCATCGGCAGTACTCTGTCATGTTTGTAAACAAAAACACATGTGGGGTATGCATATCGTCATCCACTTTTGATGACGTCACAATTACCGTTGACACATTTTAATGACGTCACAATTACCGTTGACACATTTTAATGACGTCACAATTACTGTTGACACATTTTAATGACGTCACAATTACCGTCGACACATTTTAATGACGTCACAATTGAACACATGCTAATCGGCAGGAGGCTATCTCCCCCTATGGGGGTGGCAAGCTCATCTTTCCCAGCTAAAATGGGAGACACCTGTGAAGGGTGGGAGAAAAGAATATCTCGCACCGGTAAAGTGTGGATACACCTGTCCAGGGTAAGAAAAAAAGAAAGCAAGTATTACAGCTGTTTGAATGAACACGAACATATCGCAGCCTCCCAAAACACGCGCATACACTACACGCATGCATCTTGCACACAGGGGAGGCCGTCCTTAAATGACCATAGCTGTTGATAGGACGTTAAACAATACTGAATCAAACCAAACCAATGTTTGAATGATGTAATCTACAATTGATTACATGCTGATGTGATCAGAGACTGCTCAGGGCAGCTAAATTTGGCTAGCTTCACATGTGTGTATTAAAGTGTCAAATATTTTCTGATGCAATTCAAGAATCCAATATTTTCAGATGGGCAAAGTAAGATGAATACTTAAACTTTCAATTAATGTGTGCTTGCTGCCAGGACTACAGTACACTACAGTACACTACAGCCATTACCCAATAGTTGAGTGTTAAATTCCAGCAGCCACTGTACATTCTTACATAACGAATGTGTGAGAACTTGTAAAAAAAACCACGTTCTTTTATGAGGTGATTGACTCATTCACCCCCGAAGACACATTTGAACTCTTCCAATTCAAAGGTTGGAATAGATCAATATGAAATTTCAGGGGTGAATGAATAAACTCTAATCCTCTAGGTGAAGGAACACATTGATATCTTTTTACCGTTACAACTTGTAGTAGTTTCATGGGGAGCATCATCAGTTGATATTTTGACAATGTTTATGTATGTTAGGCATGGATTCCTTTAGTTATGCTGTTTGTCCCTTTAGTACAGATCATCGATCGATTCCAATTTGCAATACAGTTTCTAACAACTTGATGTTTATTCATGATCCCTTTGATTAAAATGTATGTTTGATGTTTTTTCAGACAGCACTACAACCATACCAAAAAGTAAAAACAACACATCGACCTAAACATGGGCAATATGTTTGCAAAGGCATTTGCAAGTTTATTTGGTAAAAAAGAGATGAGGATATTGATGGTGGGGTTGGATGCTGCTGGTAAAACTACAATCCTTTATAAACTGAAGCTTGGAGAAATTGTGACAACCATCCCGACTATAGGTAAGAATTATTGTATCTCAATTCGCAACATACAGGTATGTTTATGATTATGTCGGATATCACGCAGTTCAAAACTAACACGCATCTACAATGTACTAGCAAAAATGCGCGTTGAAATATATACAGCATAACCTGTCTAAACTAGCCCCTGTCTAATCTGGATCCCTGTCTAAACCGGCTTTGATTTGTGGTCCAGGCATATTCCCTTTATAATCATAGTAGATACAACCAGACTATGTCCATTCCAAAAACCAGCACCGTTTCACATAATAATTTTTACAGCCTGTATATTCCGGTCCTTAAATTTCTCTCGGCCGGATACAATCTAAAGCAAACACATCCTAAACAAATTAACGCTATCCAATGTCGGTCGCCCTTAATCATTTGTTTTATATACTGTTTATATTGTAAATAATTCAGTCCCACAAACAAAGTTTGGAGACTTATTGTTTTTACTCCATTTCTTCTTCTTATTATTATTCTTCTGTATTCTTCCAAAAGGCCCAGGATACTGATATTGGGCCTGTGGCATGCTGGGATGAATGGCTACCAAGTTTGTTAAAATGAATGACCTTGACCCACTTTCAAGGTCACAGGTCGAATGTCTCTAAATCTTCAAACAACTTCTTCTCAATAACCAAAAGGCCCAGGGTACTGAAATTGGGCCTGTAGCCTGCTGGGATGAAGGGCTACCAAGTTTGTTCAAATGAATGACCTTGACCAACTTTCAACCTAATGTCTTTGTTCAACATTCAAGGTCACAGGCGTCATATGTTTAAATCTTTTAACAGGTTCTTATGAATCAAACACCGATATTCTGCCTTAAGCTGTATTTTAGTCCACTTTTAAGATTACAAGTGTTATATTAATACTAGGTGAGCGATGCAGGCTCATTGGGCTTCTTGTTTTACACGTGCCAACCCTGTATAAACCGGACACCTGTATAAACCGGCCAAATAGTTTGGTCCAGGTGACATCTGGTTAAGACAGGTTATACTGTATATCTCGCTTGCAAATTTCTGCAAATAGATTTTTACTTCCCTGTAATATTATACCTACAAAAGTAATAACCTAAAGATAACCTTTTTGGTCCTGAATGCATCATTGATTGTTATTCACAGTACTGTCTTCAGGTTCGTCAATATTCACTCTTGTTGTATTTGTTCAAAAAGAAGATTTGCTTGTGGGTTTCTATTTTAGTGAGTGAAATTTTCCATCACTTGCAAAACTTTCCAGTTGGCAAATAAAAGTTAGGTTTAACTTCTGAATGTCATTCAAGAGGGATGTTGACAGAATTTTGAAAAGGCAATCAATGGTCAAATGGTTCCTCTTCGTGGCTCTAGACATCCATTAGTCTTAGCTTGGGCTTGTAGATTTTATGATGTGGCAGGTGCTGCTTCATTTGATTGTAATAGCAATTAGCAATTCAGTAGTTTGAAAGTCTTTTTTCATTCCCTTGCAGTCATCCTAGAAACAAAAAAATTTCAATTTACAAAAAAATATTACATTTTCCACAAGTGAAGTATCAGGAATAACTTTTTTTGCATTGCTTCTTGTCAATCCATAAAAATGTTTGATTTCTTCTCACTGAACTGATTACTATAAAGTTCTGTAGGAAGCTTCAACTTCANCCCACCCCCACCCCCACCCCCCATTGGGGCCTGAGGGATGGGCCAAATGGCTTTAATTGACACTCACTATCTTTTTACTTCGACAAATCAATGACAATCCTTAATAAAAATTGTACTTGTACACAGGAAAATTCTGTATGCTTTTCATGTACAATATAAATTTATTATCAGAATATTTAAAGACTTTGATTAGTATTAATTGTATAAATACTGTTTCAGAGAAATTTTGTTTAAATCAATTGCAGGTTTCAATGTTGAGACTGTAGAATACAAAAACATTAGTTTTACTGTGTGGGATGTTGGTGGTCAGGACAAGATCAGACCATTGTGGAGGCATTACTTCCTAAATACACAAGGTAAGGCATTGTAAATACACAAGGTAAGGCATTATAAATACACAAGGTGAGGCATTAGAAATACACAAGGTAAGGCATTGTAAATACACAAGGTGAGGCATTGTAAATACACAAGGTGAGGCATTATAAATACACAAGGTAAGGCATTGTAAATACACAAGGTAAGACATGGTAAATACACAAGGTAAGACATGGTAAATACACAAGGGAAGGCATTATAAATACACAAGGTGAGGCATTGTAAATACACAAGGTTAGGCATTATAAATACACAAGGTAAGGCATTATAAATACACAAGGTGAGGCCTTATAAATACACAAGGTAAGGCATTATAAATACAAAAGGTAAGGCATGGTAAATACATGTACACAAGGTAAGGCATTATAAATACACAAGGTGAGGCATTAGAAATTCACAAGGTAAGGCATTGTAAATACACAAGGTCAGGCATGGTAAATACACAAGGTAATGCATTGTAAATACACAAGGTGAGGCATTATAAATACACAAGGTAAAGCATTGTAAATACACAAGGTAAGGCATTGTCAATACACAAGGTAAGGCATGGTAAATACATGTACACAAGGTAAGGCATGGTAAATACACAAGGTAAGGCATTGTAAATACACAGGGTAAGGCATTGTAAATACACAAGGTAAGACATGGTAAATACACAAGGTAAGACATGGTAAATACACAAGGTAAGGCATTATAAATACACAAGGTAAGGCATGGTAAATACATGTACACAAGGTAAGGCATGGTAAATACACAAGGTAAGGCATTGTAAATACACAAGGTAAGGCATGGTAAATACACAAGGTAAGGCATTGTAAATACACAAGGTAAGGCATGATAAATACACCAGGTAAGGCATGGTAAATACACAAGGTAAGGCATTGTAAATACACAAGGTAAGGCATGGTAAATACACAAGGTAAGGCATTGTAAATACACAAGGTAAGGCATTGTAAATTTGGATTGTCTCCCATTGTACACCACTGTATGGCACATGAAGAAAGCAACAGTGCAAGGTAAGGCATTGTAAATACACAAGGTAAAGCATGGTAAATACACAAGGTAAGGCATTGTAAATACACAAAGTAAGGCATTGTAAATACACAAGGTAAGACATGGTAAATACACAATGTAAGGCATTGTAAATACACAAGGTAAGGCATTGTAAATTTGGATTGTCTCCCATTGTACACCACTCTATGGCACATGATTGTCTCCCATTGTACACCACTGTATGGCACATGCTTGTCTCCCATTGTACACCACTGTATGGCACATGAAGAAAGCAACAGTGTATGTAGATATGATATAGTTTATGTACTATTTGAGTAGATGGGATAAGAAATAACTTAGAGATCAATGGTACAAATATGATCAATTTAAAGTTAATATTGATCAGACTTAAAATTTCTATAATAAATTAATATACTGCACAGTATTGTTTGTTGAGAAACTACACTACAAAAAGGTATGGCAAGAAAGTGACAAATATCATATTTCACAAATTAAATTGAACGTTTGGTCTACAGGTCTGATATTTGTGGTAGACAGCAATGACAGGGAACGTTCACAGGAAGCTAGAGATGAGTTAGCTAGAATGCTGAATGAGGATGAGCTGAGGGAAGCAGTACTTTTAGTGTTTGCCAACAAACAGGTAAGTTAAAGAGGTTCAAGTTAGGCTGTCATGTAAAAGTGTTTTAGCTCGCAAGGCCAGGCGCCTGTCGTCCATCCAGCATAAACTGTTTAGCTCACCATCTGATGAGGATATTCAATTAAAACCTGCGTCTGTGGTGATATAGTTTATGTTTTATTTGGGTAGATAGGATAATAATCTACACTCTTATACATACATAGGTAACACACTTTAAAATACAGCCATCTTCAATTTGAGAGTTAAAGTTTGTTAGTGCTATTTCTCAGAAAGCACTAGGGATCTTTTTCAAATTTTACATGAAGGTTCCCCATTGTCCCTGGTTACCCTAATCAATTTTTTTGGACTGAAGGGAACATCCAAGATGGCCGACAGACACATAGGGAGCCATTTTGAATTTGAGAGTTAAAGTTTGTTACTCTCTCGGAAAGCACTGGAGGGATATTTCTCAAATTTCACATGAAGGTTCGCCATGGTCCATAGTTACGCATATCAAATTTTGGGACTGAAGGGAAAACCAAGATTGCCGACAGACATTCATTTTGAATTTGAGAATTAAAGTTTGTTCAAGCTATTTCTAAGAAAGTACTACGCAGGGATCTTTCTCAAATTTCACATGAAAGTTCCTCATGGTCCCTTGTAGTTATGCATATTGTTTTTGGGACAGATCACTAAACCAAGATGGCTGACAGGCAGCCATCCTGAATTTGGGAGTTTAAAGTTTGTTATATTTCTCGGAGATTACTGAAAGGATCTTTCTCAAATTCAGTTACGCAAATTTTGGACTAAAGGGGAAACAAAGATGGCTGACAGACAGCCATTTTGAATTTGAGAGTTAGGGTTTGTTAGCGCTATTTCTCAAAAAGTATTGGAGGGATCTTTCTCAAATTTCACATGAAGGTTCCCCATCATCCCTCTTTATGCATGTTGATTTTTGGGACTGGTCACAAAACCAAGTTGATAGATAGGGAGCCATCTTGAATTTGAGAATGAAAGTTTGTTCGCGTTATTTCTCGGAATGTACCAGAGGGATCTTTTTCATATTTCACATGAAGGATCCCCATGGTTCCTAGTTCCGTGATTCAAATTTTGGGTTGATTGGAAAACCAAGATGGCTGGCAGGTGGTCCTATTGAATTTGGGAGTAAAGGTTTTTTACCACTATTGCTCAAAATGTATAGGAGGATCTCTCTCAAATTTCACACAAGATTTCCTTTTTGTTAAATTTTTGGACTGATCTAAAAACCAAGATACGGACAGTACAGTTTAAGTTTGTTATCGCTATTTCTCAGTATGCACTGGAGGAATCTTTTTCGAGTTTTAAATGTAGGACAGGTTGCTCTTGGTACTTAGTTGTGACTCTTAACCTTTGAGGTTGTTCAAAAGTAGTGATGGTCTGATAATCGATTCTTATCGAAAATCAATCGGTTTGCCCTTTCCGATTCCGTTTATCAATTACAAATTCCTTAATCAATATAATCGATTCACCATTGAATTAAAAGTCTTTAAATGTCTTCAATGTAAAGTATGCTTTGAAAGTCGTATAGTGTTATGATTGATTAAACTATATAAAAGTAGCTTGATATCTAATTAACTAATTAAAGTGACTGATTAAGATGGCAAACTGATCAAACAGATAAGAGAAAAGATTGAACTGACATAGAATAAATGAAGATGGTACGATGGTGGGCACCAAGATCTCTCTGGAATCTCTTGTTTCTTAAAATAACCTCTTGCCAATAACCAATAGGCCCAGGGTAATGATATTTGGTCAGAAGCATACTGGGATGAAGTGCTACCAAGTTTGTTCATATGAATGACCTTGATCCATATGCAATGTCACAGGTCAATTGTCTTAAAACTCTTAAACGACTTCTGAATAATCAAAAGGTCCAGGGTGGTAATATTTGGCCAAAAGCATGCAGGGATGAAGGGCTACCAAGTTTATTCTAAAGAATAACCTTCAACCATATTCAAGGTCATAGGGGTCAAATATGTTGAAATCTTTAACAACTTCTTCTGAATAACCAAAATGTCCAGGGTGAATTTGGAATTTAACCAAATTGGACTAGAAGCATCCCTAGGTGGTGGGGATTAAAAATGGTACAAATGGAAGGGCTGACCCCCCAGGGGGCTGAGGAGTGGACCAAAAAGGGGTAATTCAGCCATATTGCTTTTAACGACTTAACAGAAACTAAGGTAAGGGTATCAACCATATTTGCTATGAAGCATCCCTAAGTAGTGGGGATAAAAAAATTACAAATGGAGGGGCATGATTATAATAATTTCAAACTATGACATTATCGAGATCCCCACCCTATAACCATGTATACAATTGCTGAGCACCAAGAAACAAACACAATCATGATATAAGAATTGACCCTGGGGTCTGGCCCCACCCTTAGGGACATCAAATTCCTGATCTATTATTTTGAACTAGTTGAGGAACACAATCGTAATGTAAGAATTGACCCTTGGGTCTTGCCCCATACCGTACAGACTTAATTACTGAGCAATAACTGTGAAACAGTTGAGATCCCTACCCCATAACCATATTTACCATTCATTCATTTGTTCAAAAATATTTTATTGACACTAGTCAAAGGGATTGGGCATATATACCACTGCTGGACATCAAGAGATAGATACAATTATGATATTGGGATTGACCCTGGGGTTTGGCCCATCCCTAAGGACTTAATTTCTTGGTCATAACTTGGAAATGGTTGAGATCTTCAATCCATAGCCATTTATACCATTACTGGGCATAAATATCCAGGTGAGTGAAACAGGCCCTCTGGGCCTCTTGTTCCTCAAAATAAAAAAGAATGGAATGAGTTTGGTAATTGTGTATCAAGAACGAAATTTTAATAATAAAATAACTTGTTTCCTTGAAGATGCTAGTCTCCTCAGTCTATGTGAATGGGCTTTACTTTTGGTATCTTAGTCTCCACCAAAATTTTGCTTCTCCATGCTGTTTGATTTAAACTTTAAGAAATCTGAACTATACCTACATCACCAACAGGAGACTACGGTGCATTGTAATCAAGTCATGGGAACTTTTACCTTTAGGTCAAATTATGCAGAATTTTCAGTTAAATATAGGTCGAAGTTAAAACAATTTCAAAGCATATGTGTATTGCCTAACCAATTGCGAGGAAAGGCATATGCTTTTGTGGACAAAAGATAATTGATTTGCACAGTCATGATAAGGCCTTAGATTTTAGGTATCTGTCTTGAAAATGCTTAAATTTATCACTGGCCTTGAAAAACACAAACAGTTGGTGCATTTGCCTTGAAAACCATTAAATGCCTTGAAAAGCCTTGAGTTTTGTAAATTTCACCATTCTTTTGTATCATATAATCATCTGTGAAGCCAAGAATCTGTAGTTACAATTGATTATACGGTACCAGTATATGAAAATATTATGTGAAGTTTCAAACTTGTTTTAAATTTTCTCCTTTGCACAGGATTTGCCAAATGCCATGAATGCAGCAGAGCTCACTGATAAACTTGGACTCCACGCCCTGAGGAACAGAACCTGGTACATTCAAGCAACATGCGCCACAAGCGGTGACGGGCTTTATGAGGGACTAGACTGGTTATCCAATCAACTCAAGAATACAAAATAAACCATTGACAGGGATGTGTAATACTGTTTTGTTAGAATATGTATTACTACTTCGTTAGAATGTGTAATACTTTTTGGGAAGTGTGTGTTGTTGAAGGACTTCCAACAGGGAATGAAAAGTCTCATAATTTCATAATTTTCAAGCAGTTTTCTCAAAAATTCAACTTTTGTTAGACCATCATAATTTAAGTGTTTTGTGCAGAATTGGTTTTTCCTGCTGTAAATTTAGGTATAAATACTGCCGCTGGCCTCAAATGTCAAATTTGTCGTCTGTTTGGGAAAAGTTGTCTAGAGAAACCAACAAAACTAATTGTGTCTTATTCTGGCAACCAAGAAGTGAGACAACTTGTACGATTCTTTTAATAATGTTATTCACTTTCGGGACATTCTTTTGATGATAGCAGAAACACTTACATTTTGTTTGGGTTATGAAGAATTTCGAAAGGCAGTTGAGCTCCATGTTTAATATGAGATTTTCTTTTCATTTTTACCTGTTTAACCGAGATTGTTCAGCTCGGAGATCTTATAAGAAATACATGTACACTGTCTAGGTCTTACAAACAATTGTGTGTGTCAGATTTTCGTATTGAATGTGGCTTTCTATGATATGTATATATTATAATTGAAATCCTGTATTGTCCTTGCTGTCGTGTTGTGGATGTGAGAGTGCAGTGTACTGTATGTGAGAAGGTGGTCGTCAGTCTAGGTGTTGGGATTGCATGGGTTGTGAACTGTCTTCAACTGTTAACATAGTGCAGGCAAACCTTGTCATGATCAGTCTCATTTCAGAAGAAAAAATATCTGGATAATACCTTCCAGACATTTTGATATAAAATCATTATCCAAGAAAATCAAATGTATATAAACTATTCAAGCAAGATGCTATTTGTTCTCCAATTCTTTTAGTAAATAGGTATTGTGTATCCATGTCGAGGCCTCCTGAAAGCACTGGCCACATTTTTGTGGAATTCTCTATTTGAACTTTTCCTTAAAAAAACAATGAAATGTTTTAAAGCTGCTTTGATTTCATTTGCTGCTAACGTGACTACCAAATTTTACTGGTCTATGGAAATTCAAGAAAAGTCTCTTCCAGGGTGTTTGTAAGTTTGTTTGAGCAAGAACATAGGTGACAGGTTTCAGATTGTATATATCGTGATGTTGTAATCTTACTTATAGTAGCAGTTAAAATCTAGCACCAAGGACTGAACAGGGTGTTGGCACAGTCGTGAATTTGCACGCCAGAAATAAACTTCCAATAAGAAATATGTCTTTACGTGGCAGTCTCCGAATTATTGAATGACGTGGAACCATTTTTATCTGGATGTGTCAAGTACAAGTTAAGTCCTATAGACAAGGAAATGTGTACCAGGTACATCTTCAAGTTTTTGATTGCACACTTCCTTTACATATATTTCACAACTGTTCAGAATGTTTGAACTGTATGTAGGAAGGTTTGCAATTCAAAATGTCGGTGCAAAAGTGCTAAATAAGAACACTGCCAAAATATGTATGTTTACATTATAAGTATGATTCCTTTATGTAGAACCTTTCTGTCCAAATTAGATCTGGGATGTTTTCCTCCAGTCGATCAGAGCTGACCACATTTTGATCTCTGGTTCCTTTATGATATTTCTGAGAGTATCATAATGCAATTTAAGATCAAAATTAGCAGATTCTAGATGAAATATTTTTGTACAAAAGGAAAAATAAAACAATTGTGGAATTGAATTATTTCCACTTTCCAGTCTTGTGTTCATCACCCAGACGATGTACCTCATTCCATGACTTACAAAGGACCAATTTTGATCAGTCTGACCTCGTAAGGGAGAGCACCCAGATTTATGTGAGAATGACTTGAATACAAGGCGCTATGATATATAGCCAGTGTGTATGCTTGGAATTTAAAACGAAGAAATGATCATGCAGGATATGGTATGATGTATTGTATTTTCACTATGTTGAAATTAATTCTGATTTTCTTGTACATTTTATCAGCTTTTATTTTATCATACCCTAATTGTCTTTGTATGTATTTCTAACTTATATTAAATAGAATTTGAATTTATCAAAAGTCCTGAACATCTTACCAAACAGATTTCTTGAACAAATGAACAGTAGCTGAACGCACTACCTGTTGATGTAGTAACATACTGTCTAGACCGACTACCTGTTGATGTCGTAACATACTGTCTAGACCATCACACTGAGCTGAGATTTGTGGTCACATGATATAAGTATGTTCATCGCTATCCTTCTCCATGTCATCTTTAAAATATCGCGTAACTGAACTGTCATAATGTGTAATATTATGTGTCAGTTTTGGTCCCGGTGAAAACACAGGTTGTCTGAGAGGGCCAACTCAGTTACCAGATTTTTTTGGTGAAAATAATGAAGTTGTAAAGAAATAATAAACATCACATGATCAAAACCTGTTATTTCGTTGTTTATTTTTTAAGCTCACCAGGCAAAAAGGTGGGAGATGGAGGTCCTGTAGGCCTCATTTTTGTATTTCCGCCTGTTTTAAAAAAAAAGTTCTACAATTATATGTCTAGTTATAGTTTTTTAACGACTTAAGTCAATAAGCCTAAAGTCTATGACTGGAGAAATATATCAATTTTACCATGAAGTTTGGAAGAAGATGAAATCCGGAGAAAAATACTTAAAACCCTCCAACAATCCAATCAGATTTCGCCAGGAATAGCGTTGGAACCCGAACAAATTATTTTCGTTTTTTGGGGGGGGGGTTTCCCCCCTGAGAATAAGTTACCATCTCTCCTGCACATGTTTGGACAGCCAAGGTCATATGTGGTAAAATTCTAATTAACATAATTTTTTTTTAAATCCGTAAGAGACGGCTATAGCTTTATAATAAATTGATATTGACTGTGTGTTGTGTACCACACAGTTATTCCCCTTGATGAACTCTTAAAGGGTCAGTTCTGAGACAAGAGGTCGAAGTTTAGGACGCTTGGTTAGTATTTGACGTTTCCAGTCGCGATACAACCATATAATTATTAACTTTATGAATTTTACATCAATTATGAAACAAGTTATTTTAACTTGTATTAACTCTTGTTGGCCCGGATGGTAGTGGGCGGGGTCGTTTATGTGGGAGAAACCCCACGTTGTCGGGCAGATGACCCGGTACCTTTTAACGTCCGGTCGGAGAATCGAACCCCGGCCGCCTTGGTGAAAGGCGAGTGCACTATCCACGGTGCCACCGCCCGACCACCCATATAACTTTATGTATATATGCTCGCTAGCAGAGAATTATTTGAACGATACGTCAGTCAAGCGACACAAAACTGACCATTATCACAAGCTCTTAAACTCTGACAGGTCGTTTGTTTATGAAATTTAGGAACCGAGACATGATACACAGAAATAGTTTGCAGAGTCATAAAATTACATTTTCTAACGCAGGAATCCTTCTTGTTGAACCTGATTTGATTATAATAAGCCCCGGACTTGGATAGAATATGATTCCGTGAATGACCTATGCGATCGGCCATTGTAGAAAATAATACGATCTTCCAAGTATTGAAAACACACTTTTTAAGCTGTAGATATATCTGATACTTTCTTTCTTTATTATGAAAAACAAATTATGAAAATATTTATCATCATATAGCCAAAGATAGCAATATGATTTTAGGAGTTTTGGTCGATATTAAGAGTCGTAATATTTTTTTCTAATGAATGAACTTGTATAAAAATTGTCATATTCTTTGTATTATATATGTCTACATTGATCAATTATAACAAAAAATAAATAAATCTGTTTTTGAGTATATTTCGGGAAGTCATTAACCAACCCGATTAGCATTGTATGTCCGTTTTAGAAAGAAGAAAAAATGATTTTACGGCAATTTTCAAAACGCCTGGAAATAATTTACACCTATGGATTTATCTGATACTTTGTAATTCATTTGAAAATCATATGAAAGGCAATTTTACAAGTAACCACCGCCGATATATTAATCATTAGCACTTCTGGTGCTCTCAAACATGGACAGGGAATGAATGCTGATGGCGGCAGTGAAGCCATTGTGTAGATTATGTAAATATGATTTTAGAAATATTGCCATACACGTTAACATTCAGCTCACGGGAACGATCTTATAGTATAACATGAACTTTTCGAACAAACAAAGAAACGTCGGACCCTTGCTGTAGTCTCATTGTAGTAAACGAGAGTTGAGAATAACAACTTTTTAGACACTTTAAGGTATCTTTGATTGGAGTTACTCCCCTTGCACCACTGTCTCCCTCATGTAAGTTTCGTTGTCGATAAAATAATCTCATTTCTTTTATTCACAGTGTTTAACTTATTAATATAAACTAATCAGTTATTTTCTAGAACTGCTGTTTCTTACAATTAAATAGATCACATTCCCGCGACTAACCAACATAATATTGAACGTTCCAAATATATCTTGTAATTTCCCCACGCAATGGAAGAATTGGTACTTACAACAGAAAGACTGGATACCAAAGTTTGGTGTAGAGCTTTTTATGCAGAGTTTAACTTCGGTGTTCTGGTATCAGATGGTTCGACTCCCGCCAAGCACTAGTACTTGTTCGTTTCTGTTTAAATATGAGTTCGAAGCATGTCTGTGATATCGTTACATTTATTTATGTATATCAATAAGACTGAAATGCGATGATACGTTAACGGGACTATTATGTTACAATGTACTAGCTGTCTTGGTGTCTTGGGTGGTCGGGTGGCACAGTGGATAGCCACATTTGCCTTTCACCAAGGTGGCCGAGGTTCGATTCCAAATCGGACGTGAAAAGGTATGGAGTCACCTTCCCGACCACGTGGGGTTTTCTGGTTAATCCGGCGCCTCCAAGCGCTAACATCCGGGCCAACAAGAATGATTAATACAAGTTGGTTCATAAGTGTTGTAAAATAAATAAAGTTTATGATGTTCTAGTTACCGGCATATTACAATTGAGGGATTCCACCCAATGCAATTTCTTTAGATTGATACTAGGTTTGGAATCGTTAAGGAAATTGATTCGTTAAGGCAAATGATTTGAGCCACTCTCTCAAAAATGGCAACCAAAAAAATATGGGGACATTTTTTTATTTTATTTTTAAATAACTGTATAAAGACATAATTTGTCCTTGAAATAATTTGTTTACGCCTAACTCTTTGTTAAATGCGCAGTACAAGTGTGTGAAATAAAAATAATAACAGCACCGTAAGGTGAAACACCTTTGGGAAGTCGACACTGACCTTCAATTTATACAATGTAAAAACTATTGATTTTTTTTATATTTTAATCAAAAGACTAATAAACTAACTTACAAAGATTCACGCCAAATACGAAGTTCGTACCAGCTGGTTCTTTTATGGGAAACAGATTGATTATTGTGTATTCTTTAGTTTCTGTCGTAAACCTTTTTATTTCAGATTCCACTAAATATGATACAAGCCAGCCTCCCGCGCCCCTGATAAGTTCGACTCTGAGTGTGTATTTGCGTGGGGACGGAGGAAGAATCTGTAGGTTGATTGAGCTGTCTCGTGGGAGGGAAGCAGATATGTATTTCGAGGGAAATTACATGAAAAGATAACGGTCGTCTTGCTTGACTCTCGGGACGTTAATATCTGGTATTTTAGACCGTTAATTAGGTATATAATGGATGGGCGAACACGAGAAGGTCGAGCCCAGCTTGTACATAGTCACGTAGGCCTGATTATCATAGCAAATTAATCGAAACGTCACTATGCATAAATTAAACGACAGTTTGTTTTTGTCAAACTGTTTTTAGTGTTTAGTTTCCGGTTCCGGCACATGAAAAGTACCAGTTTTTACTTGCATGGTAACCTTTATAAGATAAACGGATTTATAAATATTTGTAATACTCGTAACTCACTAGGAAAGATGAAAAATTACCTCACTCAAATAAGCTGGAATATGTAAAAAGAATGTCTCTATTTCAAACAAATAGAATGTTGATATCATCGTGTATCCATTGATGGACAACGTCTTCCATGGTAGCCAAACTTCCTTTTCCGAGGAGTACGAGGTTTAAGATGACAAATACCGTACTGACAGCTATTACTTATTAATAAAGTTTTTCACGCCGTAAAGGGGCAGATCGTCCTTAAAACTTGACAAAATTCTTTGTCTGCGCTGTCGTTATTACTTCTTTGCCCATATAGCTTATTAATATATACATTTTTTTTAAACTTAGTTAATTTCTGCCTCTAATATCCACACATTTGTACGGGTAACACATTATGTTGTTTTGTTTGTTTGTATTTAATCTAAGTCGTTTCAAAACAGAAAATAGTTATGAAACTTGTCAACGTACACTGTTGTACAGAAAGTAGCCTTGCTCAAGTATGAGATTTTGTCTTGTTTTAAGGAGTTGGAGGGGCAATTGATTCAAGTACGCACAGAGACGAGTTGTTTTTAGTGTTGAGATACGAAACAGTGTCTGTGTGTAATTTGACAAACTCTGCTTGACAGTTTGTGTACGTCGACATTATTTCACTCAATCATCTGGTGATTTCAGTTTGACATATGTGGTATTCTCGCTCATATATTACACTGAAAAGGCGAAGTAGTTGTCACAGATGACGTCACGAGATAATTTTATTGAATTAGGCGTCTGTGTTACGGGACTCCGCCAAACATATACATATCGATAGTGGAGACTGGTGTACATACACATCTATCACGTCCCAGACAGACGGGGGCCTTCACGGTCTTAAATCGTCCACTACAACACTTGAAAGGAAAGAAAGTACCAGCATTGTACGGAAGGGTATTAGAGACAATTTAAAGATTAATAAAATAATTTCAATCTTTACTTTCTATGTTTTCGGAATGTCAAAGTTTAGTAAATAAGAGTCTCAGACCAAGAATCATATATTGTCCAAACGTGCATGGTCCGTGTTAACATTGGTTTCGTATGGTCAAAACGCCAATGTTCGATGCGTGCATTCTTGAACCGTGCGCACAAAGGTGTTGTATTCAGTTGGTTTTTTTTTTTATCATATTATCCAAACGTTATTGGCCAGTGCGTTCATTGGTGTCGTATTGTCCAAACGTCCATGGTTCATGTGTACACCGTATGATATGGTCCAAACGTCCATGGTTCGTGTGTATATCGTATGATATGGTCCAAACTTCCATGGTTCGTGTGTACATCGTATGATATGGTCCAAACTTCCATGGTTTGTGTGTACATCGTATGATATGGTCCAAACTTCCATGGTTTGTGTGTATATCGTATGATATGGTCCAAACGTCCATGGTTAGTGTGTATATCGTATGATATGGTCCAAACTTCCATTGTTCGTGTGTACATCGGATGATATGGTCCAACCTTCCATGGTTTGTGTGTACATCGTATGATATGGTCCAAGCGTCCATGGTTCGTGTGTATATCGTATGATATTGTCCAAACGTC